CATTCAGGATGGAGTACATGCTGATGCAGCAAACGCCAACTCGGTCTGACGGCAGGAACACTTGCTTCTCTCTTGCAATGTAAGGGCCAATGACGCTGAAGTCCATTCTTGACCCGTAACATTTTCTACTAAAACAGTTGTGAAGATGTTCCTGCGTTCCAAGAGCTGGATAAAATTAATGAAGCATTTAGTTATTTTTAAGAAACCCAAAGTGGTAGATCTTCCTTTTATATGCTTCCATGTTAAACTAGATGCATCTGTTTTCGTTAATGGGAAAAGAACAAGTTGTGATTTACAGACTTCTGAGATTCTCATTTCAAAACAACTTTCAAATTTGTTTTGCACAGACTGTCTTGTCTGTCTCTTAACTATTTTCTCAAGTCGACAACTCAGAACCTAAGTGCAATTCAGTAATAGCACACCTACAAATAATCTCAACAGATTGGGAGCACAAAAGGACCAGGAAGACCAAGGAAATGTTTAGAGCTATTAGGCAAGCTACTTGATATTTGATATCTCCACCTATCAGAATATGGAGTGAACAAAGAAAGAAAAACACTGCCTGCTTTCTGTTCACCTGAACAGGTGACCTCAGTGAAAGTGCCATAGGGAAGAATAGCTGTTAGGGCCACTGGGTGAGAGCAATACCTATATACTAAGTTAATAATTTTTTAAAAACCAGTTATATAAACTCATGATGCCTTTTTTAAAAAGGCATCAAACTTTTGATCAAACATAAAAAAGTAAAACGTGTGAATCTTGAGTATAAAGGGTAATTATAATTTTACAAGTGAGGAGATTTGGCACTTAAGAGACTTGCATTCATACTTCCCAGTCCCCAACAAGGAAAATGTATAGGTTTGTGCATATATATAGGTTATATATATAGCTTTTAAAGCACAACTACAATGACGTGGGAAAATACCCGAACAAAGCTGAATGCCATACATGTAAGAACCCGCGAAAACTTAACGTACGTACATATATATATATATATATATATATACATACATACATACATACATACATACATATACATACATACACACATACACACACATATATACACACAGATAGATAGATAGATAGATAGATAGATAGATAGATAGATAGATAGATAGATAGATAGATAGATAGATAGATAGACAGACAGATGCCCAAAGACACTTCATTGCAAAAGAGGAAGACGGGTAAGAGCGGTGGTAGCTCCAAGATAGGAGAACCGATTGATACGTCAAAGTGAACCAACACAAAATCACAAGCTGTGTTCAGACGGCACACACTGACCCATAGAAACGTATCTATAATTTCTACAATTAGCCTAATTTTCTCGGGCACCGTGACACAATAAAGGAATCATCGTACAAGCTGAGTTCATGCAGCTCGCAAAACTCAAATTGGCCTAACAGTGGTTTGCGACTCCGTGTGTTAGGTTAAAAAAAAAAAAAAAGGATGGCTAACGCACCTCAGCCACAACAACCAGCACTTGCAGCTGCCCAAACAATACCTACTTAAACGACGCCACCACTTTTCACTGGCGAGGAAGAACGACTTCTTTGCGCAGACGCCGTTGCGTTGAAAGCTGACCCAGACACGCAAGCGCAATTGCCCTCCCCTAACGCCTGCGCACTAACATCTGCGGGGAAACTCAGAACGCCCGCCAATGTTTGAATTCGCACTACCGGCCAATCTGGAGAGGGAGAGTAACCGTAGAAATAAAAACGGTGAGTTCTGGAATAGGTGGGTAGTTTGTACTGTGGCAACTGGAATTTCAGTACGGAGTTCGGAAGGAAGAAGAGCCCAGGCTTTCAGCCGCTGCGGATTACTTCTGTAGGATAAATTGCAATGTTTGGTACTCCCGTGTGGTGTTTGAAAAGCGAATGGGGGTGTTGGGGCATTGTAATCTCGGTGCTGGCATGAGGCAAAATAGCTGCGGTGGCGTTTTCAGCCGGGGAAACCGTATTCAAAGGACAGGTTTAAGTGGACGTGTGCTTCGCCATGTTTGGCTGAATAAAGCATAGGTTTTTAAAAATATTTGTTATGAAAATATATGTGTCGGCCATCTCGCCAAGAGGCGAGTCCAGGCGTCTTTACAATAAGTAAAAGCAAGAATAAAGCATTAAAATATTACATTAACAAATATTGGCATTAAAATTAACTATAAAATTGGCGAAGATGGTGAGAAAGACTGCCTGCATTTTGGCAGTTTGAATCTCACCACGCTCAAAGTTGACTCAACCTTCCATCCTTCTGAGATCGGTAGAATGAGGACCCGGATTGTTAGGGGTAATATGCTGACTTTGTAAACTGCTTAGAAAGGGCTGTAAAGTGGTATATAAGTCTAAGTGCTATTGCTATTAGCCACCTCCAGCAACTCCATCGGGGACCAATTAGCAAGCCCTTTCAGAAAGTTGCCAAAGTTAAACCATTGTTTACAAGGCTGCACAAGGCTCCAGTGTCTTTACTTTGTAGAGCGGGCTATGCTTCTGGACCCCACAAAATGGCAGAGTGATGGAGAATCCTACTCCTCACTGGTGACCTCATTAACATCATTAAAAGTAGCGGGGGGACGTTGGGAAATGAAATGCAAAATTCTCACTTCAATTATGGGGGTATTTGGACAGCAGAGATTCCACTGGAAATTGTTATTAGTAGGCTTCTGTGACCTGACAAGCAGAGTCCACGGGGAAACCAGAAACATTTAATAATCCTGTTATTCAACTGCAGTAATTCATTTAACAACTATGGTGAGAAAAGTCGTAAAATGGGGTGAAATTCACTTAACAAATGTTTTACTTAGCAACAGAAATTTGGGGCTCATTGGTCATAAGTCAAGTATTATCTGTATTATTAGCTTTTTATGTCACCTTTTTACATATGACTGAATACATACCTGCCTACTCTTTTTTTTTTTCACTGATACAGCTCTGTGTGTATTAGATAGGCATTGTTCATAAATATATACTATTGAAGTAGACTGGCCACTAGGAGGTATAGATGCTCTACAATAAACTTGCTGAAAAGTTATTCTATCAAGGGCTCAGTACTTTTGAAGTGTTGGTGAAAAGAATGGGGCTATATCTATATATTTTTTTGGTGTGGACACCAATTTTTTGTCCCACCCTTTTAAAACTAATTTTATTATAAGGCAAACAAAGCAAATGCTGAGAATCAGTCATAAGACGAAGTACCTATTTCTGTAAGAATCTATTTTTATATAGTTTACTGAGCTATTGAAATCCTTTATTGGACATAATGTAGTGTTGGAAGAAATATCCTTCTGGGTTCAGTTCCAAGTGGGGAAAAAGACACTGGAAACATGGAGGCTGTTTGGAAAGATGGTTTCATGGTGGACAGGACCACGTGGCCTGGAGCTCCAGAGTGAAAAAGGAAGGATGATCACATGCTTAAAGGTGAAGGAAGAGATCAAGAAAAGGGATGAGGTGCTGAGAGTGCCTGGGTTTTATAACCTTTGTTGGAATTTGAATTGAACCTTGTTTCTAATTGGTTGTCAGACTCCCATGAGGCCATGCAGAGGCAACTCTGTAGGCTGTCCTGAGTTCCAGGCTTGGTTGAGCCTTGCTGGATGATGCACTGAAAGGGCTTTGGGCAATTGCTATAGTTTTACTTGGAGATCTTTGTAATGTAAAGTATTCTGGCCCAGGCCTTAATGGCCCACCCATTAACAAAGGTGGGGGTCAGTTTCTGCTTCTGAGGTGAGTTTCTGTTTCTGAGTTTCTACTCTTTTTAGAGGAAATATTCTGCCTTTTTAATATTTCCCAGGACATTTCAATTTTCTAGGAGAGGGGTGGGTGCCAACTTCCTATAGTAGGTAAAACAAAAGCAGAAGCCATTGCGTGAATATGAATTTTATATGGGGATTTCAGTTCTGATTTCTGGTCTCTGTGAACTAAAATATAGCAAGACATGTTGCTATATATCACCATGTGTTCTTTTGCAATGAATTAGAGTAACCTCATCACTTAATGAGTCCTTTGTAGCTAAATGTGAAGAAAAAAATAATGAATTTGTGTTGTCTTCCAGAAAAATTATATGTTGCTGAGCAGTTTCAAAAGATGATAAGCTGTATCAGCAACTATCATAGAAATATGTCCTGATGTAAAGTAAATGCTGTTGATCATTATTGGGGCTTTACAATGAATTTGCAGTGTATTGTCACAAAGGAAGCATAGCACTTGGTCATTTGAAGCACATGCATTTCAGCATAGTTCCTTCTAGGATTTTGCAAATGAAGAGTTTTATTTTGCTGAAAAAGTTATCCTGTGTTGGGTTCAGCATATGTACATAAGTGCTATGGAAAAGACTGGAAACAGCTGGATCAAATCTTTCAGAGAGCATTATTTTGGGGAGGCTGCTTTTCTTGTACTGCATGGTTTGAGAAGTGCCCTTCAGATCCTTTGCATAGCACTAATAATTTACGGTACTGCATAATTCTAAGTTTATCTAGTAAGAAGTATACTCCAGTGAATTATATGGCATTCAGGGACCACAGTGTGAGGACTATTCAGTAACTTGAATCATCTTTCTCTTTAAAGCTGTTTATTAGTATGCAATAAGATGCAATAAGGAAATCAAATTGAATTATGTAGGTAAAGATGATATTTGATATGATTGGAGAGAACATTTTAGACCCAGTATGAGAATGATTGCAGTAATTACCTTAGAAATAAGATAAAAAATTTGAACATTTCATAAATACTACATAGAATGCCTATTTATAAAGGAAATTTGTAAAGAATGGCAGAAGAAAGCTTCAGACAGAAGCAATCCCTATTTCGTAGAACTTGATTCCAGTGACATAACAGGATTGATAAAAGTAAAGAGTAAGATTGTGAGTGGAGATATTTAAATGCATAAAAAGGTTTAGCATAAGCTATCATGCAGGTTGATAAGCCAAGCTGTATAAAGCATACATTTTTAAAAAAATCTGTTGCATATTTTTAAAATATAAACCATGTTTTCTATAGTGAGAAATATTAGTGATTCCGAAGATGGAAATGGAAGAGGAATCACAGTTTCTTGAAGGTATTGTTTTACATTTCTTATTGATGAGAACCTGAAAATGGGTAAGACATATTAGTATTTATAGTGCAGTTGTTTTGAATGATTCTTGTCTCTTAACTGTCTTTGTCCTACACAATTTGGGACAAAGCTGGGGCAGTGATCAACAAAAGAAAATATTTGTCATGTTGATATACAGACATTTCTAAAATTCTGTTTTCACTCTGTTATTATGGGGTACTGAGTGTAGATTAATTAGGAAAAAATGAATTTCAACAACTGTAGAATCAGACTGCAGCATAACAAAATTGACAAAAGTGAAGGCGGTCTGAATACTCTTTGAATGCAATGTATACATAGGTTGGACAATAAAAAGAAAATACTCATTCAAATTATTTAAAAATCTCAGTGTCCTTTGCATCAAATAACTATATGAATTGAAAATAAATTTAAAATATGTCTCAAACTTAAAACCAAATGATAGAAGATAATGTTAATTTTGGTAGACATATTTCACAGAACAAGTTAAACTAGCAAAACCAAAGAGTTTTGTGTTATTTTTATTCTTGGGAAACTAAAAAAAAATCACTTACCTTTCAAACACTAACTAGCCAAGACCTGTGCACTCCCTTTCCTTAGTAATCCACAAAAGTTTTATAGAAATGTTTTATTAATCATGCATACATTTTTGAAGATTTTTCTTTTGTCATCCTATAGGAAATGAATCAGAAATATAACTATGCACTTGATATGCTTATAAAACTATTATTATTGAAGCAAAAATCCATATAATTGTAATTCTCCATGTAGAAAATAATTATTTCAGTGCTGTTGTCCAGTGGCTACTCCTGTTATTTTTCAAGTTAGTTTTAAATGACAAATAGTTATTGAATCACTCAGCAATGACATGAAATCTATATTTATTTTATAATATCTTGATCTCCTGGAGGGATTCTACAATGATATATCAAGATTTTCTGGTATAGACATTATATAACTGCAGCTGACGGGTATAGAAGAACCATATAAGGTTATAATTATTTCTAGGCTTTTATTTAGCAGACAAAAAGACAAGAAATAGATGAAATATTAACTGTGTTTAATATGTAAGGGTCAATTATGTCCATTATTTGAGATGCATATTGAGAAGCTTGTATAAATGTCGAAACAAACAGCACTGAACTATAAATCAGAAAAATTAAAACTGGATGCCAAATGGAGCTATGTAATCCCTTAGTTAAGAATCACATGGAAAATTTGTTTAATGTAATTCTACCCTTTTTGTTGGTTGTTTCCCTAGAATTGTACTGCAATAAAGCTGATATGAAAAAACTAAACAAACCCTAATATTTTGAGAACCAGTCCAGGATTTTGTAACATTGGTTTAAATTTGTTTGTTGTAATTTCTCTGTTGTTTATAAAGGGAATCTTTTAATGGGAACATACTGCAGATATCTCACTTGAATTGTATAACACTAAGTATGTGTTATAGAGCCAGCAGTCTAACCAGATTTAGATGGAAGTTTTTTTTAGCATTCTTACTTTTTGCAATTGAAACAGAATCTCCAGAAACAAAATTCATGATGGTATCTTCAAAAAAAAAAGTGAAATACCAACGACTCCCAAAGAGCATTAAAAAGAGTCTAGAATCTAAGATCCATTGGACAATAATGTAAGTACTCATTATTTTCTCCAAATATCTTCTCCCTTTTGGGATGTTTTGCCTAAATTAATAAATTCAGTTATCATTAATAATAATTTCTAATTAAAAGAATTTGGGGGATGAAAAAAGATACTGATTTTGATTATTAGCTGGATTTTTGCAAATTTAAATGATTGCTTTAATTACAGAATCATTTTGATTGCACTGATTTCACCCAAATTGCACTGATTTCACCCAAATTTCACATCTGAAATGCAGCACTAGTATTTTCTGTTTTTTTGGCAATAACAAACAACTTCTTCACTTGCATAGTAGTTTCAGTTGCACAGAGTGCATGTAAACACACATCTGGAGGGAATGGAATTAGTATTTATTGCTGACCCTATTGAATTTTTTGCACAATGGTTTTGGTTGCACTTAATTGCCTGTAAACAAATGCATCTGGTGTTGTTACATAAAATCAACACATTATATAAATGCTCATGATTACACAGGAAACGTTCAAAAGCAAGACACAAATCAATCCTGTTTACCCTGAGGATATCTTGGGGTGGAACTGATTTTATATCTGCTATTAACACTTTTTCCAGGCAAGGACATGAAAGCATTATAATGTGCATATGGGTGAAAAATGCTAATATGTTCTCTCTCTTTACAGAGCTATTCTCTATGAAATTACACAAGATTATAATGAAACTGAAAAGCACCTGAATATCCTCAAGGAAAGGTAAAGAAACCACCTAAACAATAACAACCCAACACTCATGCCAATGTTAATCCAACGTTAGGATAACAAATGCTTTTGAATTCAGTAAGTTTTATCCTGAAAAAAGATTTAAAATAAGTTGTCTGCACTTAGCAGTATAATACAGGTATTGCTTGAGTTACGACAGTTCATTTAGCGAACTGGTTCAAAAGTAGCCCCCACCGCCCCAAAAAGTACTTAAGTCCCAGTCCCAAAATTACATATGTTGCAGCACCACAGCAGCTGTTCATCCTTACGACTGATTGAAGTGATACTACAACATGCCCTCTGCCTATTCCCCCCCATCCCACCCCCACCAGGTCTGCACAGACACTGGGCCTGCTTTCCTAGCTCCCGCCCCCACCCCAGCAAGTTCCACTTGCTTCTCCCCACCCTGTTTCTGATCTCTCACTTACCTTTCAAAGATTTCCAGAACCCCAGAAAAAGGCTGACCTTTGTAGCAGAAAAGCGGCCATCTTTTACTCAGGCACTGGTGAAGCTGTAAGAATGCAAGATCTAAGGAAAACAGCTTCATCAGCTTCTGAGTAAAAAAAAACCAAAACCCTTTAGCTTGTCTGCCACAAGACCAGCATCTCTGCCCACCTCGTTTGGTCCCAGCCTGGGCAGCGCCGCAGCAGCCTTCTGCTTGCTATTGGGTGGCTGGTTTGAATCAGCAGCTTCAGGAATTGGGGCATGTAGGCAGTGGCGATAATCAGTCAACGCAGAGCTTGTTTCCTTTGGACTGAATTGCAAGCTCGGCCTCTTTTATTCAGATGCTGGTGAAGCTGTTTTCCTTAGATGTGAGAACCTTTGCAGACCCAGCGGGGCAAGATGCAGGAACGGGGGAGCAACTATGGGGACCTCAAGGGAACATGATACATCTCCGTGGATAGAGGGAGGCTTTGGGTGGTTGGAAGCAGATGGCCTGTTCCAGCACTAGGTTCCTCTCCCCCCCACCCATGGTCTTCCCCACCCTGAGATACCTCATGTGCACTTAAAAACCTATGCATTTGATTAATACATTGGGGAAAGCGGGGGGGGGGGGAATCATGTTCATTTAACATCAATTAATAAATCCTTGAGTGTAACTGGCAGGCTCCATTACATTTGTAAGTTGAGGATCACTGTTTTTGCACTAACCAGCAGCATCTTGACTATCTGGATCCTGCAGCTCAACTACGTTTTCTTTTTCTATGCCAGAAGTGAGGTACTGAAGTGTACTGCCATGAACTTGAGAGACGGCTAGTCTTCAGATTATGATAGCAATGGGGGCTAGGATTGCCTTCACTAAGCAATGTGGTGGTAAAGCATGCCAAATGACCACATTGCATGATCCCGACAGTCATGGTTGTCAATTTTAATCCCAAGATGTGCATGTCATTAAGCAGAAAGTGGAATCCCAAATAAGGAGCTTGGGATCGGTCCTGGGAGGCTGCATAAGAACATGCATGAATGAGGTGGGTTTAAAAGGCTAGAGACAGCATGCAAGTTTGGGGAGCAAGTTGCAGTAGTCCAGGAGGGTTGGAGAATAGATGGAGCAATGTATGACCTTCCTGCCATCTTCCTCATTGACATTGCTTGTGAGAAGCCAGCAGGAAGGATTGCAAATCTCCATAATGTGAGGCATCATAAATGTGAATTGGTTCCCAAGTGCCTGAATCTCAATCACATGACCAGATGGGAGCTATGACATCCGGAACATTGCAGATTAGCTGTAAGTATAACTAGTAAGTTCTAAGTTCAGGGCCATCACAATTTAAAGCAGTCATTATACAAGTGGTCAATAAATGAGGACTACCTCTGTACATCAAGTATTAGTACAAATAGAAAGGGGCTTTCTTTTCTTACGTCATTAATAGCCAAGTAATAGCAATTAATGTAGCAATCAAATTGAAATGGTGTTTCTGATATTCCTCTGAATTCCAAATATGCTCAAGAAAGCACTGCACATAAAACAGAGGGGAATTAGGACTTCACCTGTTACTTATATAGTGCTTCTAACGTACCCTGCAACTGTATTAGTTATTTTGGGAGCAACTGTGCCACATGTTGGGTCACGTTTAGCTTGTCACTGACAGCAGGTTTTTTTTAGAAATCATTTCTTAATTTTTTCCACTTTTATAATAAAAAACATCAGAATGGCATTGGTTCTTCAATTTTAATATTTCTGCCAATAGCATCTAGAATCAGAATTATTGCTCAATTATTAGAATCTAATACAAGACATTCAACTTATTAAAAGAAGAAATGATAAAGAGAAGTAGCATATTTATTTGAGTTGGTATGTTAATGTATAAATTACAATGTTGAAGATTCTAGTATGCAGCTGTTCTCTTCTGTACCTCCACCCTTTTATGCAGGTGCAAGAAAATAAGGTACACAGGTAGTCTCAATTTACGATCAGAATTTCTGTTGCTAAGCAAGGTGGTTGTTAAGTGACTCATGCCAAGTTTTATTTAAAAAATTGCCATAGGTAACCGAATCACTGCAGTTTCTAAGTGAATCATATGGTTATAAAACAAATCCAGGGAAGCTTCCTCCATTGACTTTGTTTGTTAAGCAAACTCATTGTTTGCTATGGGTGGTTTTTGCTGGAAACTGGAACGAAACACCATCTTTGGCCAAAATAAATTGCAGTTGCATGACCTGAGGGAAGCTACAAATGGCCACAAAAATGCTCACGCAAACTGTGTTGTTGATGCAAAAGATCAGTGCAGAAATGGCGGGGAGCAAAATATATTACAAATGTAAGAACTTCATTGATCTTCAACGAAGAAACATTTTAGCATAGTAACTAGTATCAAATTATCTCCTATTTGGTTTGATATTTTCATTGCATGATTTCATATATTACAGATAATCATGATAGCATTAGCATAAAATTATAATGTTGTTTAACAATTTATTGAAGGCTTCTGAAATGTATTGAAACTTTGGAAGTTCCTGTGGATGAGCTAAATTATCTGAGCAATGTACAAAAGGTTCTAAAAGAAGAAAAGGAAAAGTATACTTTAATGGAAGAAGGATTGGAGCATTTGGAGGTAAATATGGAAAAGAGGATGGATTTTGAGAATTTATATATTACATTGTGTGAATAAATAGTTAATGTGATATACTAAACAATGTTCCACGAATGAGATTTTCCCATTAGCTATGTTAGAATGTTGCTACAAAATCAATGAACAATCTTACTTGACTTTATTATTTCCATTCATATGTTGTTATTACTAAACCAAGCATCTGTAACATGTCATAGTAAATCTATTAATCTTTCATACATTGCAAAATGCTCTGATACTTATAAAAAGGAATATCACATCATTACTGTTCTTTCCTTTTTAATCTTTTTTTTTAAGGAGAGTTATGGACTTTAAAAAATGGTGCAATCAATCATTACATTATTGTTGCAGAACATAATGCAGATTAGCTAAGATATTAGTTGTGGTTTGATTCAAAGGATTAATTAGGTTTATTCAAATTTCCCTTTTAAATGGGCAAATCAATTAGAATTTTTTATTTATGCTTCTTTGCATAAAGTCTATTGATGGATTCAATTTTGGTCCAACTGATTCAGCAATGTTGATAATTATTAGGGTTATGTAATATTTGGATTCTGTTTTGGATTTATAGTATTTTCCAAAAACTTAGCAGCTGTTAAAGGGAAATGTTTGAATTGAATTAGAAGTATTGCACAGCCAATCAAGCTTCTGGTGGGGACTAACAGTGGGCTGATGCTCCTCAAAGGTGTTAACCCAAATTGATTCAAGAAGTTTTTTTTTCCATTTCTGTATAAGTATAATTATTTTTACATACAATATAAACCCACCTCCTCTTTTGTCAGGTCTGTTTCTTTTGAACAATTTAAATCCTGCTAGTAGTACATTAAAGTCATGGGTTTCATCCTACCAAAGTTTTAGTAATGACAGCAATGTCATATCTGGCCTCATGTACTAAGACTTCAAGTTCACCTTGTTTATTCCTCATACTTTGAACATTTGGATATAGGCATCTGAGTCCTTTTTGACTGACTCTGCATTTGCTTCCTACATCCCCTATTTTGTATCTGAGTTTCCTTTCTCACCACTTGATTGAAAGTCTTGAGGTTTATGCTTGGGATCAGGTCCTAAAACTTGATCTCCCTCCCCTTCCAATTTTAGCTTAAAACCCTTTGGATAAGCCAAATCAGTTGTTTTCCAAACATGTTCTTCCTGGTTCTTGTGATGTGTAGCCAGAGGTGAGATGCTATCAGTTCTGTCGAGCCAGTAGTGCCGAAAATCAGATGAGACCGAACCAGTTCTCTCAAACGATCTGCTGTTGGGCCCGCCTGGGCTGCCATACTGTCCTTTATTTCCTGCTTTTGAAGTGTAGCTGGTTTGCGCGGCACAGGAGATTGCCGCATGTCAGCTGTTGAAGACACAGGGACCATGCAGTATTTCAGGGGGTGAGTAGGAAAGCCTCTGTGCATGTGCAAAGTGTGCATACGTGCAAAGCGTGCCCAACGAGCCACACCCACCGAATCAGTGGTAAACCGTTTTGAAACCCGCCACTGTGTATAGCCCATCCCTTGCCAGAAGACCTTCATTAAAGTAATGTATATTGGTCTAGGAATTCAAAGTTCTCTTGACAGCATTATCCAGGAGAGAGAGAAGAAATATGTTACATAAACTTTATGACTTACATCAAATTTGTCTTAATTCTAACACAAATGCAATATATCCTTACTTTAAATACATTCGTTGTCATCTTCTTTCATTTTAACCATAGGAAGAAATAAGCAAAGATTTGTTAACATTACATACAGTGGATGACAAAATTCAAATACTTCAGAAGAAAATAAAAGCATTAAAACATGAGCTGACAACATTAGAAGCAGAAGCAGATGAGGTATTTGGGAGCCATTACTGGATTTATTTCTGGCCATAAGAATTATACAAGACTTACTTTTTCTTTGACAAAGCAATCTGAGAACTGAAAATAGCAGTCTCTTTTTTCTGGAAGCAGATACAGGTAGTCTTCAATTTACAAGCAGTTGTTTCGTGACTGTTTGATGTTACGTCAGCCTTGGAATAGTTCTTTATGGCTCTTCAAGTTGTTCCAGCCATTGTAAATGTTGCATATTGGCTGCTTGGCAACCAGTTCACATTTATGACTAATTACAGTATCCCACAGTCACATGATCACAATTTGCAATACAGGTAATCCTCGACTTAGATTTAGTGACAATTCAAAGTTATAATGGCACTGAAAAGAATGACTTAGAATCATTTTTCACACTTACAACCATTGCTGCATCCCCCTGGTCACATAATCTAAATTTGGAAATTTGACATGTATTTATGTTGGTTGCAGCATCCTGGGGTCATGTGATCACCTTTTGTTACTTTCTGACAAGCAGAAGTCAATGGGGAAGCCAGATTCACTTAACAACCATGTTACTAACTTAACAACTGCAGTGATTCACTTAACTCTGGCAAAAAAAATATAAAATGGAGCAAAATTCACTTAACTGTCTTGGTTAGCAATGGAAATTTGGGGCACAATTGTGGTTGTAAGTTAAGGACTGCCTGTATTTTTTTGCTGATTTACAGCACCCATTTGGGAGAATGTATTCAGATAACCACCTGATTCACTTAATGATTGCCATTAACATGATTATAAAATTGGGTCCAGTCATATGGGTACCTTGATTTAACAATTTTTCCAGTCCCAATTGACTATCTGTATGGGGACATTTGGTGTTCTATATCTATATTAACTGTTTTCTCCATTCTTTCCAGTTATTTCATAGAGATGTTAATCATGACCTAGGTATTCCTGATCTTTCAGTGGAGTATTTCAAACTACCTGCTCTTCAGGTGAGTAGAAATAGTGGCAGTATGTTTCAAGTACTTCGCAACAATAAGAAGTCTTAACTTGTCTTGAACATATGCCGTTGAATAAAAAGTATTCCACTCATTTTAATTTCATTTTTTACTGTTACACTTTCTATTTTATAGAATGAGGTTTTGAAGATTGGAAATCCACACGCTCTTCTTGATGACATGAATATCATCAAGCAATCAGATGAGATGAAAAATATGATGGCATTTCTAGAACAATTATATGAAATGGCAGACCATCGATGTACAGAAGAACAGTGAAGTAGCCTGTATCTTTAGTTCCTTTGTTCTTCCAAGGAAATCTTTGAAAGAAATAAGTTTTCCTAACGTGATTTGCATTCTGTAATTCTTCAGTGACATGGAAATTTTGGATGTAATTAAGAAAATATCATCTACAATTTTATTGGGGTAAAGATCGGCTTCTCAGTAACAAGCTAGTCCCATTCTGACTAATTACCATTAAGATTTGATGCAAAACTCTTCATGTTGATCACATGACAAAAGTTTTTAAAAGCCTTTTGACCAGTATTCCACATAAAGCTACTTACTACTATATAGTACCAAACAGAAAATTCCCCCTGGTTTTGAATTGTAGTTTCTTTTTGAATATGCTGGTGTAATTTAGATGCGAGCAGACCTGCTGCTTGAGAAACATGTACAAATGCAGATAACATTTAATTGCTTCATTGGCAAGCCAGTTTAAGCATAAACAAGTTTTCACTGGAGACTCACGACTCAGTTAAACTCAGAGCTAATGAGTAACAAGTTTCTAGCTCTAAAAAAATCAATGGGTAGGAGTTTATTTTTCCCCCTGCCTCCTGGAACTAGATATTTGTCATCTGCAATTTTTTGTGGATGTGGATAAAGAATATAAGCCACTTACTTAGGCTAATGCTCCAGGATTCTTAAATATGGTTTCTTTCTTTCACTCTGCTCCTTTAGCTGCAAGGAGCATTATACAGCAGGTTGAGGTGTCTTTCTTCACTTGGAATTGTATCTGAGAGAAAGAATGAGTGTCAAAACACTAACCTCGATCAGCATTATTCCTGTTTGAGAACGTATAATACTTCAATTTCTAGATCTTAAATGGAAAAAGCAGTTGCTTCTTCCATTTTTGTCTTTAGACATAGGTCTATGGGGGAAAGGTAGCATTAGTTTCAGGAAAGATTAATCATTGCCATTCTCTTAAATTGTTGCTGAACAAGCTGCTCACTTGGCCACCAAAGGGGTAAGTATTTGCTCCTTCCAGATGGTGGGAGAAAATCTTTAAAGTGGACTGTGCTTATTGTCTTTGTTCTCCCTTTAGATATCAGGCAATATCATTGGTTGCTTGAAGTATCCTAGTTAATACTAAACATTAAGATGTCCAATCACTTCTAATGAGAATGTTGATTTTATTTCTATATTTAAAAAGACCAATCTTGTATATAATCAAGCAATAGACCTGCTATTGCCTGCTGTACTTTGAAGTATAATTGGTTCTTGTGGATATTGAAATTAATACTTAAAAGTAGGAGAAGCCTAAAATTGAACTATTTTAATTATAGGGTATCATTCTTCACTCAGATTACAGTTGAAAGAAAATAATACCTGATTCTCCTTGGATTTAAGAACAAGTTTAAGGGATAATTCTTTCTCTCAGGGTTGTGTTCCTTTCTGTTAATTTTCAAAGGATATTCACTTTTGGAAAATAAGACAAATTACTGTAGTTATCACCTTGGCTAGATGTCCTTTTTCATTTTTTGAAAGAGTTGTATATTTAAAAAATAAACATGCTTTTTTGATTCAACCCTAAAGAATACTGTGTTGTCAGTGAGATATCTGTAATTTATTTACATGTTTCTATGAGGAAAACTTACAGTAGCCTGATTCCCAGAAGTATGTATGGTTACTACATAAGGGACGTCAGAAGCTTAAGGCGGCATGTTTGAGAGACAGATTTTAGTTAAAATGTGTAAATACATCATATTGTAAATCTACATTTTCTGTGATATTATATTTTAATTTTTCAGCCTGTTGATGTGTTTCTATTCTGCAATGACTTTGTAGCTCTCTGGGATAAAGATTTAAGTCACTAGTTTGTAAACTTATGTAAATTGACAAGGACAATTTGGCTGAAGCAGCTGCTAACAAAAAACAAAATAATATTGCCTTAAAATAATCAAAAAGAAAGTGTTTACTGCCTAATAAGGAAACTTATACTGCTTTTTAAAATGTCAATTTAGTTTAAATATAAATGTTTTATCTAAAAATTTTCTGTAGACATGCAATTACTTTAGTTGAGATAGACCACAACAGTCGTCCTATGTTCCAGAATAAACTATTCTAGAAACAATTACCTTTATTTCTGTAGGATATATTTTTACAGATGTTTTATGAGTTTTTATTTGAAGTTTCTTTTCCCTTTTCAACCACCCTACAGGGGAGATATATGTGACTCATGTTTCTTTTCTTTGGTCCATACATCACTTCAGGATCATTCTGCTGAAATCTGAGGCACAATGAATTTCTGGGGGGGGGGGGGGGGTATGGCTTAAGCAATAAAATAAATTTAAGTTTGATATGCTTAATGTATTTACATTCATTGACACCCCTATCTCACATTTCCTCCTAAACACTCCTATTAAAGTACCGCTAGCTGCAAAAAACATCTGTATTCCTGTTGTACTTGTAGATGATACTCCTGTAAACCATGATCCACAAAAGATTCAGTCAGGCAAATAAGATTGTGAAGAGATAGGGTTGCATACAGAAACTTTCCCTGGCAAACATATAAAAGAAAATGGGTATCAAATATCAGAAGCTGAATGTTTTGAAGGCAGAGAAGCTACCTACTTTTCACAATTGTGCAAATTGATTGTATTGAATAATAGCAATTCTAATTTAAAGTATGTCAAAGCATCTTTTGTTGGAATAAATGCAAGCATAATTGCAGAGGAGGACTTGTGTAACAAAATACATGCATATATATATATATATATATATATATATATATATATGAGAGAAGTGCAGCTCCCTCTTCATGTTTTGACTGTGTTCTGCATCTGAGTTATAACTGTAGAGTCTACTCCAGGTATGTGAAGTCAGCTCCAGCTATGTATGAGAATGAGGATTATGGCTTTTGAAATGGTTGTCTAGACAGATGAATGCATTAAGTATTCAGGGTTCCCTAATTTATCAGTAATTCCTTTAAATGGATAGATGTTTTTAAAAGTACTTAATTTTGAAATGCAAAACTTCCGATGAATTTATTTTTAGTCTGTCATTCTACCAATACTATAGGTTCTGAATCCAGGCAGTATAATTTCTGTGTTGTTAGTTTGGGATTCCTTCTTTTTACATACACTCTTCCACTATCTCAGTTGAAAGCTTCTATATATTTTCTTAGTATATGGTATCACTGAGCTTGAAAGGCAACATAGTTTAAAATTTTCCTGTACTGTACAGGATATGGTATTTTTTCAGCAATAATGCCTGATTTTTGTTCATCGTGTATTGCTTTGGGTAGCCTTTAGTGAAGGAACTAATATTCAATACATAAAGTCAGAATTGTAATTTGTAATTATATGATTGGTAATGAATGGAAAAAAGGACTGAAAGCAATCATCTAATAAGTACTGGTACAAAATCAATGATGTAATGCCCACTGGGGATTAAAATGCTGATTTGCAATTCCAGGTAATCCTTGAGGTATGACAGGTCATTTAATGATTGGTCAAAGTTACAACATAACCCCCACCTTAGAATTGTCTCTTCTCCCTCACCTTCCTTCCCACTTTCTTAGAAGCAGAAAGTCACAGGTCTAATCTAGAAGGGAAACACTGTGCTGAACCATTGAAAAGTGCAGGTGGTGGTCATTCACTCTCTTTCTGCTTCTCCAGGTCTTTGATGGGGGGGGTTTCTTCTGGAGTAGAGACAAAGAGCCTCTTCCACTGAAGATTTCTCTGTGTTTTCTAATTTCTGTCTCTGCCTCTTTCCCAAACTGTACACCCCCCCCCCCCTCTCTCTCACTCACACACACACACACACTGGTCCATGGAAAAAATGTCTTCCATGAAACCAAAAAGGTACCAAAAAAGTTGGGAATCTCTGAATTAGACCCTGCAGGGTCCCTATAAGACAAGCCTTTTAAGGATTATGTATTAATAGAAAAGCAACTAACTTAGCTCAGTTCCTAAATGCTAAAGGTGTTGCACATAAAAAACAGAGGAGCTCTGGTCAACTATCACAGCCACCATTTTGACAGTTTTGCTGTACTGTTGTCTGTTGATGCCCCCACTAAATGCAAGCATGAGATAAACAGCCTGGTTTGTTTTCAGTCTTTCAAGTGGCCACAAAGCAAAAGTGGCATTTGATCACAAGGCAAGGAGGCATTGAGAAGTGTTTTCCCTTTTGCATTTGAGCCTCCCAAGAAGGGATGGGAAAGAGGAAAGAAAAAGAGGGGAAGAGAACAAGGAAAAAAGGAAAGGGGATGGAAGAAGAAAGAAAGAAGAGGGAAGGGAAAAGGAAGGATGGAAGGAAGGAAAAGCTCCCCCCAGTCCACCACAGGCATCCCGCGACCTGAGTGACGCTGAACTGGTCACTCCCACAATGGCCCCATGGCCACCTGAGGTCCACCACAACCCTGATGAAATTGAGTTTGACACCCCTGATTTACACTGACTGGAGGGAAGCAAAACCGCAGGATTTCTTCTCAATTGTGCCATGTGGCCTTCTGGATATCTTCAAAAGATAAGTATTGGATTATGACATGGTGTCTGGAGAAGGCCCATGGGTCTTTAGGGAATCAAAGGGGCAGGGTGGGGGAGGACTCCCAGATGCACCTGTGCCAGCACTAGGCCTTCCATAGTTTTCCTCATCCCCAAGTCACCCCATTAATTAATTATATGCTTCATTTAACATAAACCTTGACTCCTGACACTAATGGGACATGACATTACTGTTATATGTTGAGGACTACCTGTAATATGTCGAGTTCCACCATAAAGCCTTGAATGGTTTATTCTTGAGGCCACCAAGCTCCATGAGACAATTTGTGTCTATGGTACAATTTCAGTTGGTATTGAATATTCAGAGTCCTCTTTATTGTATTAGTAAATGTAAAGACATCTTTACAAAGAATTTAAGATAAAATTCATCTTAATATTTAAGGCAATGCTAATCTTACAAAGCATTGAGTAAAATCTAGGAATGTCATTCGTGCAATCCATCAAAGTTCTCTTTGTTTCCAGATAACTCCTTTTGTACTAGGTTGCTGTTAAATGGGCAAGTGAAGATGTTGGTGCTTAACTGTTCTACAAAACTGCAGATCCTAGAACAAATGTTAAAGAAGTGTTTTCCTGAATCCCTCAAGGTAATGTAGATAATTCAAGATAAGATATTAAAATACATGAAAAGAAAAAAAGATCAAATCAAGCCATTTTTATTTATTTGTCACATGTATATAACCACTCATCTAACATAGTGATTCTGGGCAGCATACATAATAACCATTATTCTCAGGAGGCAGAGAATAGATGGGGGCGGGGACAGTCAGAGGTGGCATTTGCCGGTTCTCCGTACTACTCAAAATTTCCGCTACCGATTCTCCAGAACTGGTCAGAATCTGCTGAATATCACCTCTGGTCTTATGAGGGTTTAATTGATATCTGCTGTTCCCCATCAGTTCTTAGCAGCTTCTAGAAATCAAAATAGGTAGGACATCAACAGTGTCAATTAATTCACTAGGGATGAAGATAAGCAGCTGGTGTAATAACATATATCATTGCAATGGATGACCTAACCCAGCAGCTTCATTTACATGTCAAATAGGAGTAGAGAGTATTGAACTCTGCGGCATCTAGCAAAACAGGCCAGGAGCAGGAACTGTTGCGGTGTTGGACTGTAGGGCAGCAGGGCCAGTGTGGGGCAGCAGAGTATAGAGACAGCCCCATAACTTCAAGGACTAAGTTTAAGTATCATTTGTTCAGCACTATTGTAGCTGCGGTCACTAAACAAATGTTAATTAAGCGAGGACCAGTGGTGGGCTGCTGCCAGTTTGGACTGGTTCCAGTGAACCGGTAATTGCAACAATCAGCTGGCCCTGCCCCCGCCCGATCCTGTCTTACATTTCCTTCTTTTGCAGCTCAGCTGATTCACACGGCACAGTGGATTACCGTGCCTCAGCTGTTCTAATTACCAGGGAAGGCTAGAAGGTGAGCTGGAGAGGTTCAAATGGTTCTTTATTGAATGCTTTGTGCATGTGCAAAGTGTGCATTAGCATGTGCTCACAGAACCAGTTGTTAAACCAGTTGCAGACCACCACTGGTGAGGACTACCTATACACAAGGCCTCCCGATGCATGTACATACTGGTAGTTTTCAACTTGCGACCAGTTGCTTAATGACCATTTGAAATTATGACAGACCCTGAATGAGTGCCTTATTGCTGGTAAAAATTCTGGTTGTCATAAAATGTGCCGCATCCCAACTTTCCCCCGTCCTCCCATGACTGCATTTTGGGTGCTTGGCAACCAGCTTACCTTCATAACATGTTGCAACATCCTGTGGCCATAAGACCATTATTTGCATTTTTTTTGCCAGTTTCCGGTATTTTTGATTGGTTTCTGGCAACAAACATTTGCACTTTCAACAGCAGCATCGACAGCAGCATTCACTTACTAGTCACAGATTTGCTTAATGACTGTGACGATTTGCATAATGAATGCTCTAAAAAAAAGTTGTAAAATTGGGTCTGTTTGCATGGGTTCCTCAACT